ATCCAAATTAAATTTTTTTGCACTTCCAAGATCATCATCAACAAATTGAAAAGGGAACTCATAGATTAGGAGAAAATATATGCAAATCGTCTATTTTAGAAGAGATTTGTATCTAGCCTATATAAGGAAACATAAATCAAGAATAAAAAGACAAAAACTCAGTTAAAATATGGGCAAAGATCAGAATAGAAGTTTCTCCAAAAAAGATGTACAAATGGCCAAATAGCACATGAAAAGATGGTGAACATCGTTATCCATCAGGGAAATGCAAATCAAAACTGCAGAGCAATATACTTCACACACACTAGGATGGCTTTAGCCAAAAAGACAGGCATTAACAAGTGTTGGCAAGGATGTGGAAAAATTGGAGCCCTCATACACTGCATGTAGTAATGTAAAATGGTACAGCTGCTTTGGAAGACAGTCTGGCATTTTTTTAAATGTTTAAATATAGAGTTATCATATGACTCAGCTATTCCACCCCTAGGTCGATATCCAAGAGGAAAGAAACATGTTCACACACATAAAAGCTTATACATGAATATTGACAGCAGCATTATTCATAATAGCTCCAAAGTGGAAACAACCCAGATGTTTGTTAGCTTATGAGTGGATAAATATGCCATGATATATCCATACAATGGACTATTATACAGCCATAAGAAGGAATGAAGTTTTGATTCATGCTAATACCTGGATGAACTTTGAAAATATTATGCTAACTGAAAGAAGCCAGACACAGAAGCCATATACGGTATCATTCCATTTATATATAATGTCCAGAATAGGCAAATCCACAGACACTAATAATAGATTAGCTGTTGCCAGGGACTAAGGAAGAGAGTATTAGGGGATTACTGTTAATGGATATGGCATTCTTTTGGGGATGATGGCAATGTTTTGGAAATTGTGGTAATGATCACTCAACTCTGAATATATTCAAAACCACTGAATCAGACACTGAATCAGAATGGATTTTATGGTATGTAAATTATATCTCAAAGCTGTTACACAAGAGGGAGAGAGGAAAGATAGTGACTTGTCCTAATTATTAATTAGCAAACAATGGCACAGCTGGGAAAAATGGCCCAGCCTGTCTTTGTGCCTGTGTTGACGATGGTAATAACTACTGTGTATGCTGTGCAACATGCTAAACGCTTAATTCATGTCTCTAATTCTCATCAGTCTAACTTTGCAAATGAGGAAGCTAAAGCTGTGAGTGGAACCAGGATTGCAGCGCAGACATTTCTGATCTTATTGACCTTTTTCCCACTATGATGGGACCTCATAGTCAGTGACAGAGCCTGCCTTGATGGATTATGGTTGACCCTTGAACGACATGAGTTTGAACTGTGCGGGTGGGTCCACTTAACATGTGGATTTTTTTCAATACTAAATACCCAGTACTACACGATCCGTGGTTGGTTGAATCTGTGGATGTGGGTACAGAACCGCAGATGTGGAGAGCTG